AACGGCAGCTAAAAGTCAAGTCTTACAAAAAATAAAGGTAACCTACATATATTCATATAAACTCAGTACCTACAAGAATCGCATTAAGTGTATTAATAACTGCAGTGGCTTATACGCCAGTATAGTGAATAACACAATATTGTTAGAGAGTTTGGTACACAAAAGTTTTAGTCATTGTACGACTTTTTGACCATAATACAATATATTATTATATTATTGTTCAATTCTATCAGTCGGATTATATTTACCGAATCGACTGTTTCAAGTGGGTCGAGTTGTGTACAACTCGTGTCGGTAAACACAACATTACGCTAAAGTATAGACTGTGGCCAAACATTATTTCACCCCTTGTCCCATTCTGTTAGCTATATTAAAATCCCAAAACTATATTATAGTGCAAACAGCCTAACTGACAAAAGAAAAAAACAACAATTTTATAAATGACATAAATATTCCACTGCAGAAGAGCTTTTGTCAACAATAATAATCTCACATGCAATAATCGGTCACAATAACTATGCATATTGATTTATATAGAATATAGATTATAAGCTCAAACGAAATATTTTATACTATTATATATTTATATTATTAATACGCACAGTATTGTGCACGACATAATCCGATACATAAAGATACGCCTTCAACATTTTCAGATGAATATGTTTTTTTTCCAACCGTATGCCCATTTAGGAACGACAGAACTTCGGTATGATATAATGCATCGTATTAAATGTACATATATATTATACATGCAGGCGAAAGCCCTATTGTCTTTTGAAATGACTATGGTGTAATCATTTTTAAAGCTTAAGCACCCTACCACAAGTACTCACAAACAATTCTCCAACTATTAAAATTTTGGCAAACCCGTTTTCTGTGCCACTTCCTAACCTTCTTACAGTACAGGAGATTAATTTTTTTAACCACATGACTCTTTCGTATCTTCACAACATACTGATGGCTCTCAAATATTATTATAACAAAAAAAAAAAATGATGTTTATATTTTATTCATGTGGACGGTAATTAATGTAGTTATCAATCGTTTTAATTCGTTTGACATTTGCAATCATATTAGGTATACCAACAGTGTTGATCCAACACGCCATTGATCAAAATATATTCGAATCGAATACGATAGGCTTCTATTTTATTATGTTTACTTTATTAAACGCAATCGTACAATAATACAACACTGTCCAACTATAAATCTATAATATATTATATTTTGAGCCCATCGCCGTTTCGTAGCTCGCCAGTAGGGCAAAGTTTTAGGGACGGGGGAAAAATGCGCGTTGACGACAAAAATTATAATTAGTTTTTGGAAATATTTCCATTTGCAATTTATTATTAACCCCCTTCTACTCACCTCCCAAATACAYCGCTGCAGTCCGTCCATACACAGTAATATACACACCCCCCCAATCCTGCGTGTACGTTTCACGCCGATTCAATTAACTCGACGACGAAACGTCATAATCGGATTACCCCCGGCGCATTATCRTCTACCCTCTAACGCATACACCAACCCACCCACCCACAAACACACACTCACACATAGAAATATAATATTAAATACGTAAAAATAAGTGCGTGTGTGTGTTATACGTACAGGATGACGGGGAGGTTTCACCGAAAAACACACGACGATAATAATAATATATAAAGTCGAATTCCGCGGGGTGTGCTTCGATTAGCAGCAGTTCTCCGGCACCCGTCAACCACCCTTTCCACCACACCGACCATCGAAACCATCGCTCCGCCGCCGCCAATGAATTTCTAATAACTTGCCCTCGATGCCGCTGGTTGATGG